AGTTTCAAGGTGGGGGAAAGAATCCATCCTCTTACCCAAAGCAAATAATTGTGTAGTGTGAATGAATCCCTTTTCTAATTCCACTATGATATGTGGCTTACCACATATCATGGTAGATTTTGAGAAGGGGCTCAGTCACACTACTCAATTATAGCACTATGATTCCACTTTAACTGCCATGGTTCCATTCTATGGGATCCCAGGAGTTGCAGTTTAGGGAGAGGTGTTTAGAATTTGCAGCCAGAGAGCTGTGGTGCCTCACCAAACTGCAACTCCCAGATGACACAGGGTGGAACAGTGGCAATTAAAATGGAATCATAGTGCTGTACGGGCCCGGCAAGCTTGAAGTGAATAATATGTACATTGCAATGGTGATTCTCAACCTGGATTCTTTGGGAAGCATGGGAGTTCTTTAGAAAAAGGAATCAGGGATTCCTCATAGGAGGCAGATTCCCCTAAATCATCACCACCATTATCATCATCTTAGTTTCAGAGTCTACCAGGTATTACTGACATTAATAACTTTGGCCATATTGACTGCACTCTAATGTCTGGTCACACATATCCCTATTATCATCTATGAAATATTGGAGGGTATGCATAAAAGTGTAAATCTGGCATGCATTTATTATTATTATTATTATTATTAATCCGGGATTTTAACAGACGAATTTAGGAGCTGGCAGGTTCAAATCTCTCCTCAACCACAAAAAGCCTGGTCAGTAGTACTTGATTGTGTATCTAGAATCTTCCACATGTGTTTTATACAGAGCTCGAAAACAATAATGTAAGGACAACAGCTCCCAAAATCCCCCAGCTAGCAAGGCCACTAGTTTTTCTGGAGGGGGAGTCTAGGAACTGTAGTCCAAAGACGCAAGTCTTCCAAGCTTTGGTTTCACAACAGCTAGCCATGTCAACATGAGGTTGGCTACATTAACAAGAGAATGAGACTATAGCAATTTAGATGTTTAAGTGGGAATTTAATGCAAGCCGCACCTGTTCAAATTCCCTCTTCCATACAAATATAAAAAATAAAGGAGCCTTTCCTTCGTTTTTAATGTTCCCCCTCTAATACCACCCATGCTATGAAAGGTACTGAAAGACAGGAGTTAATTTTATAGGTAATAATTATCAGCAATAAAAAAATTGCTCAGGTAGGTTATGATGCTTGTAACTAAATGACCAATAAAAAACTGCCGTAATTATCAATGCATGCTTGCTCTTTTAACAGCATGTCAAAAACAAATCAGATGAAAGCTTTTAATGACATTTAATGCACTCATGAATGCAGGGAACATTGCTGTTAAAAGCAGAGGAGTCGGGGGTGGCTAAAAGTTTGGCAACTCCACAACAGGTTTAAGAGTACCAAATAGGTGTGTGCATGTGTATGTGGCTTCATGACATTTGTTCGACTTATGGTGAGCCCATGAATTTCATAGCATTTTCTTAGGCAAGGAATAATCAGAGG